GTGTTACTTCTGAAAAATCAACACCAGAGAACTTTATGAATCAGGACTGCCTTATTATAACATTCATTATTTAAGGCTATTTCTGAGAAAATATTGGGTGTATCAGAATTGTTAGATTCACATTTATAAATCTTTTTCTTGCTACCTTATTGATACTTTGCTCTTCATTTTTGTGATTGATGGGTGTTACTCATTCCTTTAATTTACTGATGGCTGTAGTTCTGTTATTAAAATTCCCAAAGGACATTTCTCAGACCTCTAGGGAAATGCTGGAGAAGATAAACATATGTAAAATACTTCCTCCGTGGTAGGGACTTGGAAACAAATGAATGAATGAATAATCATCATGGCCATCAGTTATTAATGCAAACTGCCAATATCTGTCTAGGTGCTCATAATAGCTCATGCTAGACGCTTTACATACATTTCCCTGATACTGAACAACCCCAGCAAGCTGTTATTCCCCTGTAAAGATAAGACAACTGTGGTTCAGAGCCATCACACAATGTTCCCAAAATAACCTCTCTAGTGAGCAGTAGAGCTGAGAGTTGGACCTACGTGTATCATCTCTTGAACCCAAGGGTCAATCACTATGCTATACCATCTCCTTGGAAGTGAGGGAGGAAAGAATGGGGGAAGGAAAATAAAAAGGGGGAAAGAAGAGAGGAGGAAGCGGGGGAACACAAGGGGAATGGGGAAAAAAGAGGAGCACTTGAAAGACACAGTGCATGTCATCAGGTTTCACAGCGGATTCCACTAAAATGGCCTCTAATACGTGCAAAGTTATTTTGGGCATGAGGTACAAACAGGAAGTATTTCCAAGAAGGATTTTTTTCAGATCCTGCGACTAATACACAGGCATTTGGTTTAGTCCTTTGATAGGGACAATAAGCTTGGTAAACAGAGTCTAGGATGGGAGAACCTGGAAGCTGACGTGATCCAAACGGACCCAAGCAAACATCTGAGCAGCTCGACGGCTGTCTCCATCTCCGGGGGCTCCCTCTGCTTCGTGGGGAGCAGGCAGCACCTGGCTCTCCGCGCTCACCTGCGCTGGCCACACCTCGTCCTGGGCATGTTTGTCCAGTTTATTTTCCCTAAAGGTGGCAGCCTCTCCAACTGAGAAATAACTAGAATGAAGGAAAAGTTGCATTTGGATTTGGCCTCTCTGTAACAGGAAAACCAATTCTAAGAACTTTGAAGAGGCAGCTAACGGTTCCTAAGAGTCTTTTATCAGCTCCAAAGATTACTTAACACTTAACAGGAGAGATTACAATTCTAAAAGGTCCAAGGTTCTTAAAGATGTCACAACTGCAGGAAAGCAAGCTGGGGGAATGGCAAAGGTGTTGTGGAGACCCCCTTCCACCACCGCACTGAGGGTTTACGGTGGGTTTGCTTCCTCTTGGACTGACAGACCAGAGCCCAATTAGGGGGCTTTGAAAACAGTCCAGACATTTCAGAAAGAGCGTTTGTTCCCTTCCATTAGAAATATTTAGAGTTTAAAGTCGTCTTCCCTGAATTTCCATAAGAATAACTGGCCACAGTAAATAAGATCTGGGAAGTGCTGTTGAGCTTCTGTGGTCTGACCAAGCTGGGATTCGCTCCGCTCCCTGCTCTGGTCGGGCGAACACCAGAGACCCGCACATCTGGCCGCTAAGCTTTCATTCCGCCCGTGTCCCCGTCTGAAGAACCGAGGACTGAGAGCCGCACTCACAGTCCTCCCACATGGGGCCAGCTTGCAGGCAATCTGTGTTTAGTCAAATTCTCCCCTCCCTCCCCAAAAAGTCTGCCTTTATTTGCATAGATTAGGGCCATGCTGTTCCTGTCTTTTTTTTTTTTTTTTAACAATTATGGATTTTTAGAGACTTCCACATATACACACCCACCAACTGTCATACACACTCAGAAAACAGCAACAGTGTGTTAGTTTGGCTTGTTATTTTTCAGTCGAAGGGTGTTTCTTTCTTTCTTCTTTTTTTTTTTTTTGTTTTTAAGAAAAAAAATTCCAAGTGACATTCCATTAAGAGACAAGAGGGCTGGCTCCTCATCCAGAAAACCAACCCTCACATCTTGAAACGCTGCGGATGCTGAAGAAAATGAAGTGTGAGCTTCGGTGGGTGGGTGGGAGAGGAGGCTGCCCATTTGCCACGGCTGAGCACTCAGCTGTTTGGATACGAAGAACAGAAGAGGGGTTCTACCACCCATCTGCATGCCTTGGCTGCAAGCAGTGACTAGCAGAGAGGTAAACTGAGTAAGCCACAGGAGCTGGCAGCAGCACCAGCCATGAACAAGTGACCCTCGGTGGGGGCATTTAATGCTAATGATCAAGAGGCCCATGTGTAGTTCACCATCAAACAGAGATTCCCTTTTGTTAAAATGATGTCATGTCACTGTGACTATTAACAGCCAACTACATCGGTGGGGAAGTTTTTAGGCCAATTTCTTCAAATTTCTTTTTTTTTTTTATTCTTGTTTATTCTATTATAGTTGTCCCAATGTTTCCCCTTTTGCCCTCCTCCACCCACCCCACCCCGGCTCCCACAATCAATACCCACAGTGTTGTCCACGCACATGGGTCATTTATACATGTTTTTTGACTAATCCCTCCCCCTTCAAAGTTTTCTTTTTTCCGCATGGCGGGGGGAGGTTAGACACTCTCCTAGAATACTCGGAAAGCTAAGTCTTCTTGTCTATTGCCCATGGTCTGAGGGCAAGTCAGAAAAAGGTTTTTTTTTATTTATTTAAATTTCCTGTACACTTACAAATGTGCATGCACACTAAGAATTTCTCTCTTACCCTTAACTACTTTGCGACACTTACAAATCTGCCACATTTACCTTTGATCTTAATTCCCTTATGATACAGGTTTTCCGAGATGTGATTTTAAAATTGATGGCAATTTTTTTTAATGGTTAAAAAAAAAATTCCAGATAATGATAGGTCCCTAGCTATTTTCTTTTGAGAAGTTAAGTAATTTAATGGGGATGATTTAAAAAAAACAAACAAACAAAAAAAAAAAAACCTTTTATGGCCAGGTGGCTCAAGGGGATATTTTGTTGAACACTGATTAAAAATAATTTCTTCTAAATGAGACCTAACCACAAAATGGAACCTTTACTGGGCAGGGACGCTGTCACCAAGGCGGAATCATGCCTGATTGCCTCGCGTACCTCCCACCACACAACATTTTCTTCTTTTTCTTCTCCTTTTCTTGTTCTTAATAGCAGAGTAAATAAGCAGCCAGCGAGGCCGAAATGTTTTCAGCCAAAAACAGAGTCCAAACTCCTCAGAGAAAACATTTGGCCTCTGTGGTTTTGTAATATGTTCCAGAACACCAAGTTCAGTGAGGAACATTGTGACAAACCCCCATCCATCGGAATGATGGGGGGAATGTTACAGTATCAGAAGTTTCAATTGGTCCTTCTCCTGCAGGCCCATAATGAGGCTTGTAAAAAAAAAAAAAATAAGTGCTATGTGGAAGTTCTCATGGGAAAAATGAATGGCAAGAAATCCTAGCTTTAAAAGAAACAGCTAATCTGCTAGTTTGATTGTTCTTCAAAACTTACGCTGAACCAATGAGCCTAATTAAAAACACTTGGCCTACTTCTATAAAGCATCATAGCTTTCTCTATGCTTGGTTTGTATACACCACAAAACTCCAGATAGACTATTATTTTTTCAAGTGCTCACTAACAAAGTGCTGACTTTGTTGAGATGGCTGAGCTAATTTCTTGAACTCAGTGTGAAACCTTAGCTAAACAAAATTGTGGTAATTTTCCTTAATTTGTAAAAGTGATTGGAGTGCAAACAAAATTTTCCTCTTGGGTCAATCCTATAATTTTCAATTAACTAAAACTAATCGTCAGGCAGGCACCAAACCTGCATTTTGTTTAAAGGGCTGGGAGGCATTTCCAAGGGTCAGGATGCATTAATTGTTTTTATAATTTTGAGAGGGGGGGAGAGAGAAGAAAGGAGAGGGGAGAGAGAGAGAGAGAGAGAGAGAGAGAGAGAGAGACATTAGCATGGCTGGTTTTGTTTCTAGTATTAAAATACAAAAGGGAAGATGCTTTGAGGTAAAATGTCATAGCAAAATAAAATTGTTCTATTTAATTGTATGGTTATAATTAGGACATGTTAACAGACTTATCCCTTCATTGCACTGAATGAAGACAGAAACGTGGCAGTTTCCTGGACCAGTTCCTGGAGACAAGCTACTCAGGAATGACAGGTACTAAGCAGAGAGCCTTGAACATCACTAGTCCCGCTGTGGTCCTCGACCAGCAGCATCAGCCTCACCTAGGAACTGGTTGGAAACACAGAGGCTCGGGTCCCACCCAGAGCTACTGAACCAAAATCTTCACTGTAAACAGATTCCTGGGTATTTGATTTGCACAGTACAATCCAAGGATCTTCTAAAGTAAATACTGGGCCCTCAGACCATGCACTTGATGTATTTCCACAGAGAACCTGCCTATTCTCTCCATTGATGGGTGGGAACTCACATTCACCCTATAACCCTAGCTTCTTACCACAGGCAGATCCACAGGCCAACTGCAGCTTACGGGGAAAGAAAGCGCACACCCAGAATTAAATACAAAACTACCAGTTGTCTGTAATACAAAAGCTATGACCAGGTTGGAAGAAAGTTGTACTGTTCATTAAAGTACATCCATAGTATATACAGCAAACAAACCCAGAGAAACTCAGGACTGTCTAGAGTCTTTTCCCCTCTGTTATTTCTCACGCTGCGTCTTTAGGAATGCAACCAACTATTTTGACTGATCCTATCATTCAGCGTGGACAACCAGATGAATAACAACAATAATAATAATAATAGCAGCAGCAACTCATTTGGTCATATAAATGGTGAAATTGAGAAAGAAAGTAGGTCTCAACAGAAACTAGATTTAGAAATAAAACACACACTTATATGCATATGAGATCAAGTCAAAGACCGCCAGGGCCAAGGCAGCTCTGCGTTCACCACCTGCGGCGGCTCTTACCTGTGTAAATGAATCTTCCCGGAGTCCCTTTGCAGAACTGTTTGGATTTGTAGGACAATGTGACTTCTACAACGCCAGGGATGTGCCGAGGAGGTGTCTGCACACGGATGGCATGAGGGGTGATCAACTAGGAGAGACATTTGGAAGAAAAAAGTTGTCATTGCAATATGTGAAGGGCTCATTTTACAACTCTCCTCTCAACTCTCAACAAACAAAGCTTTAAGACACGTAATTAACCTGTCAGGGTTTAAAGACAATCTCGATGGAACCTGTGTAAGAGACACTGACAACGATATTTACAAGTGCTCTGAGCACAGCCGTAACAACTTTATCAGAGTTTTCCTACGTGGCAGGCACTCTGTTTCCTGGCTTGAAGAGGGAACCTGGCCTAATGAAATGATTTATCTGCCACAGGATATCCTTTGGAAAATCTCTGTCTGAAGCAGACACCCCGCTTAGAGCTGAGCTGTGCCACGCCTCTCCAGAAGTTGGTGGGCCTGGTGTTTGCCCGGAGCCTTTAAACATGTGGAAAACACAGAGGTAGGAAATCACTGGGCCAAGGCTCTGATTAGCTGCAGAGCACACGTATGAAATGCCCCTAAAGACCATTTGGTGCATTAACTACCAGAGGCACAATCAAAGGGCTTTAACCTGCCTCCCTGGAATCACTTACGGATCTGGCAGAACTAAGGACTATCCATAAAAGGGAAACGGGAGTTTGGGGAGGGGGCTGCAGAGTGATCACTGGTCCATTACGCAAGGCCACGTGCACAGTGAGAAAGCTCATTTCTGAACCCTGTTGGCAATCAGATTACACCGCAAAGCAGAATTTATTTTTTTTTATTAGTCTTATCTTTGTTTATGTAACTAAAATGTTATTAGTGGCCATAAAACTGGCATTATCTGGTTCTTTGAAAAATCCAGCTCTGGTATTTGCCTGGTTGACCTCTGATGGTGCTGGATTCTATATATTCTCTCTCTGTGGCATCTGCAATTGCCCACCACTTGACTCCTTTCACATTCATTTAGCTCAGTTATTCATGGTACTGAGTCAGTATACAATGGGTTATCACTTGAGTCTGTACGAACTTATGTTTGTGCTGGTCTTATGGGTATAACTTAGAAAGGGCTTTTGTTTTCATGTCTAAGCCAGGACCAGTTCAAGTGTTTTGCCCAGAAAACCACAGGTGATATCATGAGACTTAGGGTGACACCTTTGAATGCCAGCCCCAGGGTCCCACCTGGGTAAACCACCCCGACACAGGATCCCGGCGAAAGGAACGTGAGAAAGTTGATCATACTGAAGCCCACAAAGTAATTTCTGCCAAGTGCTCTTTCTTGACATGTAAAGAAAAGGCGCTTTGCATAAAAATCTTTTAAACTGAGTAATTAGAAATGCCTATCTTCTTCCACAGAATGTGTGGGGTTTGGGTTCATTGGTGGAGACACACAAGAGCTACTTCAGTAAAGCCATGCTTATGGGGAACCCCTGGAGGCTGGGTTCATTTCCATGGCTGAGTGTTCTGAATGGCTAAGGGTTTATCCAGAAAAGCACAAACATATAGAAAATAAGGACTTCAAAGTTTGTTCTTTTCATATTGAAAGTCTTCCAAGGTGCACTTAGGTATTATAAAATAAGCAAAGTATATATAATTTCACTTAGCCATGATAAATCAAGGTCATCGCTCAGAATACCCCTTGGTATGTCTTGCTGTAACACAGAAAAGCCCTACGTGACTTCGGAGGTAACAGGGGGCTGTTCCTAACCGCTGCCCTCCCTGCTCCCCGCCAAATGGCTCCAGACAGCCATGGTTTTTAAATTAGTTCTATTTTATTCAGTTTCTTTGTCTTTTTCCTCCTGGTGTCCTTTGCACCTTCTAATTTGCTCTTCTAATCTATAAGCCCTGAAATCAGGAGATCATGTTTATTTTGTATGGACACTAGGAGAAAGAGAGGCGCTCTAAAGGCAATAAAAGGTGATCTTCCAAAATCAAGTGCGCATTTAATCTCAATTTTTCAAATAGTGTTTTTGCAACATTGGGCATTAACACTTGCTCAGGGTCCTGGGAGGTCTCTACCACATTCATGAGGATTTTACATACAAACATTAATTTGGTCAGAACAATGGCTTTTATTATTACCCCTTTTTTCAGATGTGAAAACTGAAGCAAAATGGCGAAGTTGTTTGTACAGGATCCTCCTCTTTAGAGCAAAAAGTAACACTGATGCTGTCCAAGAAATTACAGTGACAAATATTTCCTATCTACTCAGAAAGAAGAAACTGCTTGCATGGAAACTTGTAAAAAGTAGTAACAAACTCAAATTTTTCAGATCCAGAGACAGTGTGTGTTGTTTTCCCCCCATCCCTATGCTAGATCCATCTTTCATTAATGCCCGATCCTTGGCTGTGATTTTGATGATGAAATTCACCATATAGTTATATTCCACATAGGTGGCATGTTCCTATTTTTAAGAGTTACTTAGGATATAGAGTAACATTAATCTACAATCATACTTAGAAGAACTTTCAGCCAGTTAGAAAATCCTTCACCTACCCTTTCTTTTCTCAGGGGAAAAAAATTTAAAGATGGAAAGATATTAGTAAATAGACGAGTGTAGATGTCTTTTTAAGTACAAGGACTTATTACCTGTGAGTTGCTACACTGAGGAACACAATTCATGGGCTTTGTGAATTGATTAGATAGGCCTATGATGAAACTAGGATACTGATTTGAGAGTGGGCAGTTGGCAAAAAGCATTAGGCTCAGAGAACTGAACCAAATTTTCATGTATAATTTCATTTTCAATTCTAGTCAATTGCCCTAATGAAAGCAGAGATTTCTTTTTGAAATAACTACGCTTCACAAGTGAGGTAGAATATGAATCATCATTAGAGAGTGAATTCACTGATGTTTTTCCTTCTTTGGATGTGAGTCTGGGAACAGTCGCTGGCATTGACCCATGATATCGATAGCTTAGAGAGGAAAATTATTTTATCTAACTTCTATCAATTTGAAAGCATAGGCTTATTTACTAATAACTCAAAGAATTATAGAATTTATTTCCCAAAGGAACGCTAGTGATCATTTAAAGCTAACACTCTCATTGTAACACCTAAAGACACAACAGTTCAAAAAATTCTAGAGGCTTCAAAAATTGACTCAATCACATGTTAGCGAAAGGACAGGGTCTGGATCTGGAAGTCTAGAACCCAAGGTTCCCCCCCACACACACAATCTCTCTCTCTCTCTCTCTCTCTCTCTCTCTCTCTCTCTCACACACACACACACACACACACACACACACACACACACATCCCAGAATAAATATCCTATGCATTCCAACCTGGTTGAACTAAGGCTGCTAGTCTAAGCAACAGGAGGAGGAGCAGCTCTAGAATAAGTCTAAATTTTCCAAACTTCCCTCGTTGGAATACCACTTTCTCAGTTTTGCCGTATCTACCTACCTACCTACCTATTTATCTATCTATGTCACCTATATGACTATGTACTTTATATTAAAAATCGATTACCTTTGTGTTTAAAACATTTTTTTAATAAAAAGGAAACTTTCTATCCCCACCGTAACTAGAAAACTGGTATCCCTTGCTAAATTAAGGAGGTATGATAGATGGTAATCTTATTTTGATGTGGTTAAATTCCAGCTCGATCATGTTGGCACCCTGAAGGGGTTTAGTGAAAATAGAGATCAGGTAGTGTTAGGTGTTACAGACTTATCTGCCCCAACTGAGACTGTCTCCACTAACCTAACTCAGAAGAACTAAAAGAGAAACAAAAGGAGAATGACTTTATCACTACGTGCTTTGGTTCTAGCAGCTTCAAAAATTGACCCAACCACGTCTTAGGGGAAGAACTGTGTCAGATCCCAAACCATCTCCTCTACGACCCGGGACACACACTCCACGCCTCAGGAAACACCCTTCTATCTAAGTGATTAGAGGACAGATTCACTCTGACTCAACTTCCTTAAATTACAAATCAAATGAGTTGAGCTAAAAATAAATATTCTCTTGAAACTCTATAGCATCTGACACTACTTTCTCCAGCCTTGGAAGTCTCTCCTTTCCTCACTTCTGTGACACTAATTATAATACCTACGACTTGCAGGGTGTCCAGTGGTTTACCAAACCACTCTCACAGTTACCGCTTTCTGAACCCATCCTTGTGGGGTGTGCATTCCAGATGGGAAAAGTGGGTGGTTGGGCAAGTTAACCAAAACCATTTAAAATGCTAGGAAGGGAACCAATTTCGTATGCCTGTCAGTAACTGTTTTCCAGACCCCAGCTCTTAGCCATTGGCTCCTGTTTTCCTCGTTCTCAAACTTTTCCATTCTGCCAACTTCGTAATTGTAAAAATGTCACATGTTTTGTTCTGTGTTTTCTCCTGGTTTTACTTGCCAAACATTTCTTGAGTTCACTCATTGACTCAACCACCTCAGGAAAACACTCCCAAATCGACACCTGTAGCATTGATCTCTTTGGCCAAGCACCACACTTTTATTAGCAACACAGTAACAGAATCTCCCCACACACATCTAATTGTGACCGCAATTTCACCATGACCCAAGCTATATTTATCATCTTACTACCCATCAATGTACTTCTTGCCTCCGTATTTCCTTTCTCCGTTAAGGGAACGCTATCCTCTGAAACACCCAAAATAGAAGACTTGGGATCACATTTATTTCTCCTGCCTTCAATTTGCCTTTAGTCACGTTGATTCCCCAACCCCCCTCCACCCGGCCCCCACTGAACTCCACTGTCTCTTTGCTTCTTCACTTTCTCCTATGCAGGCTGTTATCATTTCTTAGACTGGAACAATGTTTCTTTCTAAATATTCCCCCTCTATTTCTACTTTCTCCTCCAGAATTGTCTTCTTCAAGACAATTCTGGCTCAGACTCTGACTCAGACTCTGAACAGCCTCAACTGCCTCTTTATATACTTCGCATGTTCCAGACTCCTCGACATAATAGTCAGGGTGCTCCTAGACCCGGCACCCATCTCGCTTTCGAGTCCTACTTCCCACGTTGCCTTCAGACACTCTGGAGAGCAGGGCATGTGGATACGTACAAACACCAACCCTTGCCTGACGTCTTTGCTTTGTTCA